GGCCACTGAGCGCCATCATTCCCATGACGACCTGGAAGGGGAGGGAGGATTCCTGAGAATGAGCTACACCCAGATGCCAGGGGAGATGGACAACGGGTGCTCCGCACCATCCCTGCTGCACGCCAGCTACCTGAAAGACAAACGCCGCTTCAGCAAGACCAGCGGCACCAGCAGCCGGGTCCGACCAGATGACTTGGCCGTGTAGAACCAGACAGACAGAGAGTGACAGAGAGGAGCTGAGAAAGAGAGGAGGGAGCAGACAGGACTTTCAGACACAGCAGGAGAGAGGCCCTTCCTAGAGGAGAGTGGAGCAGGCTGGGTCTATAGACCCAGAGACAGAAGTGGAGCAGGTAATACAGACTGGGGCTAAAGATGGATGTGTTAGCAAACTCCAAGTGGATCCATTCAGAAGGCACCAGGCTGGCCATACAAACCCAGGAGCAGCAGCCCAAAACTGGGGAAACTGTGGAGGATTGTCTACAGCTCCAAGAGCACCACAGGAATAGAGACCTTGGGGTCTGTAAGCTCACTGGGAGTGGGTCGAGTGGATCTTGAGAGCTTCCGCATATTGGACTGAGCTTTAAGACTGTGACCGTTGGGAGAACTGATGGTTTTTGTTAGAGCAATAAGTAGCTGGCCAAGCTTGAAACATGGACATGATAACTGTGATAAAATATTGATCTTGATGCAAAAGAGACACCTTTTATATCACAATTCGGGAAAAGCCTTGAAATAACAGATAATTACACATTGTATGTTTTATAGAGCAGAGAATTACAGTAGCTATTTCTTTAAAGTCTGAGAATATTATACATTAAACTTGCATATTTAGTGTGCCAAAAACTGTCCCACAGTCTATCTAGCTGCTGATTATAATAACACAAACATGTACATGCTTGCAAATGGAAACACACACACACAGAGACGCGTACACACACAAACACACACACACACACACACTGCTGTCAGAGGAGGAAAAAACCTATATTCAGGGGTCTGACCAAAGAGTGTTGTCCCCTGATGCCTGGGATCCAATGACGGAGGCTATCTGCAGCAGTTTGGAAAGTGAAATTGGGACACAGATCCCTGCAATGCAATCCAATGTGCACTATATCAGCTTCAAATATAGCAGGAGCAACTGTTTTCTCTGTGTTTAATCCTGATTGCATACAGTGCATTCGGAAAGAATTCAGACCCCTTGAATTTTTCCACATTTTGTTACGTTACAGCCTTATTCTAAAATGGATTAAATTGTTTTTTCCCCCCTCATCAATCTACACACAATCCCCAGGTTTTTATACAAAAAAATAAAATAATAAAAAAAGGGAAATATCACATTTCAGACCCTTTAGTATTCAGACCCTTTACTCAGTACTTTGTTGAAGCACGTTTGGCAGCAATTACAGCCTCGAGTCTTCTTGGGTATGACGCTAAAAGCTTGGCACACCTGTATTTGCGGAGCTTCTACCATTCTTCTCTGCAGATCCTCTCAAGCTCTGTCAGGTTGGATGGGGAGCGTTGCAGCACAGCTATTTTCAGGACTCTCCAGAGGTGTTCGATCGGTTTCAAGTCCGGGCTCTGGCAAGGCCACTCAAGGACATTCAGAGACTTGTCCCGAAGCCACTCCTGCATTGTTTTGGCTTTGTGGTTAGGGTCGTTGTCCTGTTAGAAGGTGAACCTTCGCCCCAGTCTGAGGTTCTGAGTGTTCTGGAGCAGGTTTTCATTTTACATTTACATTTTAGGTTTTCATCAAGGATCTCTCTGTACTTTGCGCCGTTCATCGTTCCCTCGACCCTGAGTAGTCTCCCAGTCCCTGCCGCTGAAAAACATCCCCACAGCATGATGCTGCCACCACCATGCATCATCGTAGGGATGGTGCCAGGTTTCCTCCAGATGTGACGCTTGAGTTCAACTTGGTTTCATCAGACCAGAGAATCTTGTTTCTCATGGTCTGAGAGTCCTTTAGGTGCCTTTTGGCAAACTCCAAGCGGGCTGTCATGTGCCTTTTACTTTGGAGTGGCTTCCGTCTGGCACTCTACCATAAAGGCCTGATTGGTAGAGTGCTGCAGAGATGGTTGTCCTTCTGAAAGGTTCTCCCATCTCCACAGAGGAACTCTGGAGCTCTGTCAGAGTGACCATTGGGTTCTTCGTCACCTCCCTGACCAAGGCCCTTCTTCACCGATTGCTCCGTTTGGCTGGGCGGCAAGCTCTAGGAAGAGTCTTGGTGGTTCCAAACTTCTTCCATTTAAGAATGATGGAGGCCACTGTGTTCTTGGGGACCTTCAATGCTGCAGACATTTTTGGGTACCCTTCCCCAGATCTGTGCCTCGACACAATCCTGTCTTGGAGCTCTACAGACAATTTCTTCGACCTCATGGCTTGGTTTTTGCTCTGACATGCACTGTCAACTGTGGGACCTTATGTAGACAGTTGTGTGCCTTTCCAAATCATGTCCAATCAATTGAATTTACCACAGGTGGACTCCAATCAAGTTGTAGAAAAGTGAATCTACAAAAGGATCAAAGTCAAATACTTTCAGCTCCATGTTAGATTTGTGAAAATGTCCTGATGTGAAAGAAAAGTGTGTTCAAAAGCCATATATGTAAACAAATAATTTACCTTGAATCAAGGCAAGGCACAAGCTTGAAAAGTTGATTGTCCTTCAGTATATCTGCATGTTTCAGTTTTTTTAACCACGAGGTGGAGACATTTCCCCTTGAACCTTTAAAATACAGCGTAGTTCTTCGCCTAGAACAAAATTACAGGTAACTGCCAAAATAAAGGAAACACCAACATAAAGCGTTTTAATAGGGCGTGGGGCCAACACGAGCCAGAACAGCTTCAATGCACCTAGGCATGGATTCTACAAGTGTCTGGAACTCTATTGGAGGGATGCGACACCATTCTGTTGTGTTGATGGTCGCTCTGGATAAGAGCGTCTGCTAAATGACGTAAATGTAATGTAAATGTTGATGGTGGTAGAAAACACTGTCTCAGGCACTGCTCCAGAATCTCCCCTAAGTGTTCAATTGGGTTGAGATCTGGTGACTGAGACGGCCATGGCATATGGTTTACATCATTTTCATACTCATCAAACCATTTGTGCCTTGTGGATGGGGACATTGTCAGGGGGCATAGCCATGGTAGCCAAAATAATGGCCTGCCCAGCATTTTATACATGACCATAAGGATGATGGGATGTTAATTGCTTAAACTCAGGAACCACACCTGTGTGGAAACACCTGCTTTCAATATACATTTACTCGTGTTTCCATTATTTTGTCAGCTATCTGTACTTTAATGTGACTGTGTGAAACTGTTGATTGATTGTCACATTGGTAGCTATCTATCTCTTGGCAGTACGTATATTTTCATATTTGTTTAAATGTGTTTTATTTTTGTTTAAATGTGAGGCTAGTCAGAAAAAACATGTCTAGGCCTACAGGCTACTAGAGAAGTTCTAAACTGATTTTGCACTAGGCTTTTCGGGTTTTTGGAATATACAGCCCCCTTTATAATATCATGAATCACATTTTATTTTTCTATAGAGTAGAGGAACCACATTAATTTGCAGTAATAGTCTTTTGGAATTCCAACAGACTGGTTGCCGTTTCTCTGTGCACATTTCAATGTCATGTTGTCATTGTCCCTGTAAAGCCTGCAATAAAATAAAACTAATCTGTCAAATTAATTTGTCTCCCAGAAATGAATGTAACACAAACTTTCTCAGTAAAGTCGACCACAGCCCAAACATTTGTCCTTAATAGATTGGTCCTCAAAATGGTTGCCCTCAAAGAAATTAATTGACATTGCAATGCCATATATGGCTAACTCTACACAGGACCTTCCCTCCATACAAGCGCTCATCTGGTCATCCAAGGGGTGGTTTTATACTGTATATGTCCTTCCTCAATTAGGGTACTCTGGGAAACACTGATCAAAACTACAGTTCCTACCCTCTCTACTGTAGGCCTGCATACATGCAATCTTACTCGTTTCAGATAGCTTTCATTCACACTACTCGTTGTCTACAATACAATTAATAGGCTATCATTATCAGTATTGGATATTCATTTTGTATCATATTGCCTGTCTGACCATATAGTGATGACTATCGGCTTCATCATTAGATTATATAAATACATCATAACATCCAATGGGTATATCTACTTTATGACTTCCACACTAAAGTACACAAGATGGGTCTAAAGTTCAAGTTCAGACAAGGCACTGATGCAATTTCAATTCCACTCAGTAGAAATATTGAAATATTTAGTTCACAAGTAAATCTCCACACATAAAACCATAGACCATAGGCCTATATTTATAATATGCATAAAACATTTGCAGGTAACTGCCAAAATAAAGGAAACACCAACATAAAGTGTCTCAATAGGGTGTTGGGCCACCACAAGCCAGAACAGCTTCAAAGCACCTTGGCACATGTCTGGTACTCTATTGGAGAGATGCGACACCATTCTTCTGCAAGAAATTCCATCATTTGGTGTTTTGTTGATGGTGGTGGAAAATGCTGTCTCAGGCGCCACTCCAGAATCTCCCATAAGTGTTCAATTGGGTTGAGATCTGGTGACTGAGACAGCCATTTATTTCACCTTTATTTCCATGGCATATGGTTTACATCGTTTTCATGCTGATCAAACCATTCAGTGACCACTCATGCCCTGTGGATGGGGCATTGTCATCCTATAGGGCATAGCCATGTTAACCGAAATAATGGCCCATCATGTTTATACATGACCCTAAGCATGATGGGATGTTCATTGCTTAATTAACTCAGGAACCACACCTGTGTGGAAGCACCTGCATTCAATATACTTGTATGCCTCATTTACTCAAGTGTTTCCATTATTTTGGTAGTTAGTCATCTATTATTGCGCTGAATTTAAGATGCGCACCACGCTGTGCTTACGGTAATGAGGGGCCTGGGAGGGAAATGACGCATGTGGGCAGCTTTTTCGTGAAGAGTAGTTTCCCGCTACCATTGATTCACGTTGAAAGCGTGGATCACACCAGAAATGACTACATATTCCAAAAAAACATTTTGTCCCTGGCCGGGTGCCGTGTTTTCAAAATACACGGAGTTAGCCGATTACTTTTATTTGTTTTAAAAATTGTTAATAACTGTTCCAGAGGTAATTAAAAGTAAGTACTGTACAGTTGAGTTCAAAATCGTGTGCCATTCAAGTAGCTAAAGATGTAGCTAGTTAGCTAAGCTGAAATTGATAGAATTACGAATTTCTGACAAATTCTTAATTCTATCAATTTCGGGTTCGCTAGCTACATCTTTAGTTACTTGAATGGTTTTGACATTAGTTGAGATCTCGACTGAATTTCTGCAAACCTTATCAATTTGCACCAAATCCTCGATATTGACAGCTAACTAACGGTAGCTAACATTAGCTCACCGACACAGTCAGCTTGTTTCTAACGCCTGCTTCATAACTTGCTGCCATCGACACCAAAAGATCAAGTGCCAGGTTTACCCAGAATGTAGTTGTATACAGTAACTAGTTAGTTACCGTAAAATAAAGATTGGAATAACGTTTGCTAACTAAAATCTTATGCAGATCACTAAACATGGTTAACGTTAGCTGCAAATGATTGGCAGTGTGCTAACTAACTAGCTATGTTCAATGTTGTAATTGTGCGGTCTGTCTCGGCAGTATAGTAACGTTAAGCATGAGGATGAGGAACCTCTGGACCAAAGCAGGTGTTCTGGGCTCGGTGTCCATGGCGTTTGGATCCATGTTCTGGTCTCATAAGAAGACAGAACCAACTCAGACGGATTCGGGTTCGGCCCCCGCATGCACGGAACCACCTTTTCCTTACGAGCTCAAACTCGTGCAAGTCCTGTTCCGCCACGGAGCACGAACTCCGCTGAAGTCTATACCAGATGTCATGGAGGTGAGAGACCACCTGTGTCACGCAAAAGCATCTGACAGACTGGATGCTCTGTTTCCCAGGACTTGAAGTTGAGGGAAAGTCATTCATCTTAGCCTGATCGCCAAGACAAGACATATGAAGGTATGTTCACCAGCATCTGGAAGTATAACTGCTTTCCTTGTCTCTTGTCCTGTCTGTATCAGGCCCAGTGGGTGCCTAACCTGCTGGAACCCCCAGCACACACACAGATCAACTATGTGGTGACAGACCTGGAAGGAGGTCCACGGCCCTCCTCACCGGTGGAGGACAGCTACCGGGCCAACATACTGACCGTGAGTGTGTCTGTGTCTGTGAGCGAGTAGAGGAAGTAGTGCCTAGAGAGATAGGGAAAGGAGTAGGCACCGCTTTGATAAGTACGGTTAATGGGTTTAAGTTGTCACATAGGTGTGCTGGCATGGACTCCATCCAGACATATGTCACTTACTGGGTTACTCACAGCCAGCTGTCAACCAATAGGATTTCCCTCTCCAGGCCAGTAACATCACACACCACACTGGAACGACATGTCAGGATAAAAATTATAGTTTCCCATTAAATCTATTAGTGGTCTCTGAGGTTAGGGGTCACCATAAAGCAGGATTTAGCACCCTGAGAGACCTGCTCCTGAGGCTTAGGCCGGTGGCTGTATTTCAGATTAAAGGCCCATTTAAGTGAAAGAACAATCTATGGTTCACTCTGAAGCAGCTCTGACTGTTGTTATGGTCTGGGCCTGGCACTGAGGGAACGAACAGATAACGAATGAGCATATACCGAGAGGTTTGTCCGTCACTCAGCGAGAGATTGCTGCGAGACTCTTCGGGGGATCGTGTCTGTCTCACGGTGCACCTGGCATACCACAATACTACTCCGTCAGTACCCAATGGATAGACACAGATGATGCCATTTAGGATTGACTGCCTTGGCAACCTTTGACCCCTGACCCTGTCCCTCTCCCCTGTAGGGGGGTACGTACCCAGGTCAGCTGACCACGGTGGGCATGCAGCAGCTGTATGAGCTGGGAGAGAGGCTGAGGAAGAGGTACATCCAGGCCACAGCCTTCCTCAACCCCACCTTCAGCCCTACAGAGGTTTAGTAAGTACTACAGCCTTCCTCAACCCTACCTTCAGCCCTTCAGAGGTTTAGTAAGTACCACGGCCTTCCTCAACCCCACCTTCAGCCCTACAGAGGTTTAGTAAGTACTACAGCCTTCCTCAACCCCACCTTCAGCCCTACAGAGGTTTAGAAAGTACTACAGCCTTCCTCAACCCCACCTTCAGCCCTACAGAGGTTTAGTAAGTACCACGGCCTTCCTCAACCCTAACTTCAGCCCTACAGAGGTTTAGTAAGTACCACAGCCTTCCTCAACCCCACCTTCAGCCCTACAGAGGTTTAGTAAGTACCACAGCCTTCCTCAACCCCACCTTCAGCCCTACAGAGGTTTAGAAAGTACTACAGCCTTCCTCAACCCCACCTTCAGCCCTACAGAGGTTTAGTAAGTACCACGGCCTTCCTCAACCCTACCTTCAGCCCTACAGAGGTTTAGTAAGTACCACAGCCTTCCTCAACCCCACCTTCAGCCCTACAGAGGTTTAGTAAGTACCACTGCCTTCCTCAACCCCACCTTCAGCCCTACAGAGGTTTAGTAAGTACAGACACATCATGTGATCATCACCCGTAGCCTGGTAGTCACATCTGGTTCTGTAGCCAACTCCCGCTTTGTTTTGCTTGACAACGTTAAAGGCTGTAGCAGATATCTGGGCCCCAGATTAGGTAAAATATAATGTACTGTTATTACTTTATGGATCTAATAAGGAAGACACTGAATACAAGGATGTAAACATGAGCTTTGCATTTACTAAAGTAATTAGCAATGCCATAATTACATTGCTCATACACTACGCATGACTATAGGCGCTCAGTCCATAAACGGGACATGAGTAGTTAACAGAACAAGAACATACCGTACAGGTTGTTAACTGATTATAGTAAAGTATGGGGCGGCAGGTAGCTTAGTGGTTAAGAGCGTTGTACCAGTAACCGAAAGGTCGCTGGTTCTAATCCCCAAGCCGACTAGGTGAAAAATCTGTCGATGTGCCCTTGAGCAAGGCACTTAACCCTAATTGCTCCTGTAAGTCGCTCTGGATAAGAGCGTCTGCTAAATGACCTATTTATTTATTTATTTACACTCCTACTACAACACGATTGTAAGATCTGTGACACAGTACATGTAGCCTACAAGACATTTATATATTCTTCTCTCTCTCCCCCAGTGTGCGTTCCACTAACATTGTGAGAACTATAGAGTCTGCCAAGTGCCTGGTGGCAGGGCTGTTCCATCAAAGCCAGAGCGGTAGGTGTCAGCGTTTGTGTGTGTCATAGACCAGTATTTCATATCTCCTAATGTTGCGTCCCCTCTCCTCTTCTGAAGACATGGTTCCCATTCTGACAACTGAGGCAGAGTCAGAGATCCTGTACCCTAACTACCACGGATGCAGACTGCTCAAACTCCTCAGTGGGTGAGTGACTGTCTGGGACCCTTTCTTGTTGTTTTTTGTGATTGGCTGGATCCCTCTCTCGTTGATTTTTATGATTGGATGTTTCTCTCGTGTTGATTTTTGTGATTGGCTGTGTCTGTGTGTGCTGTAGTCATCGCTGGGCGGCATCATCCACTCTGCCAGACATTGCTGCGGACCTGAGGAGCATCAAGAGTGCTCTGGGCATCGCTGCCCACCAACGGGTTGACTTCATCCTCATCAGGGACGACATGGTGGCGAGAGAGGTGACACAATACAACAAAAATACAGTACCATGACTAAAAAATATAATTTTGTTACCAAAGTTGATTAAGTGGTCAAAAGATATGTGATACTGTCACTGTGTTGCATTGACATTTAACATTACAATATGTGTGTTATAACAGACCCATGGCCTACCCTGCCCACCAGTCCTGGACTCCTGGAGGAACACAGTGGAGCAGAGAGCTGTGGAGATGATCTACCACATCTACGAACCCAGCAAGAGGTCAGGGGTCAAAGGGCAGAGGGATTTAAATAAAGATCAGCATGTGTAGAGGGTCGGGGAGTAGAACACAGAGACAATACAGTTCCCTGTTCCATGAGCATATGCTTCCTTATTCCACATTCTGAAATCAGTGCATTAAAAAATCACCCAAGACAGTTGTTTTCTTAATCTTCTCTGGGGTTTGTTTGTTGTGACTAGGGAGAACCTGCAGCTGTGTGTGGGTCCCCTCCTGCATACTCTGATGGACAACATAGAAGACAAATTACAGGACACAACCTCAGAGCCCAACAGGTGAGCTACTGTAACATTTACCTGTCCATTAGAACACACACACAGAGCCAGTAGTATAGATTTGTAGAGCTGCAGTTCTCAACCCAACCACTTGATCATAGCAAATGTCCTTTTCCGAATGGCACATTCTTAGAACGTTTCGTTCCCCACCCCTACTCGTTGCTAAACATCAGAAATCTGAGGGCATTTATGCATATGTTTTTCTCTCTCAGGAAGCTGTTCCTGTACTCTGCCCACGACACCACTCTGATACCCTGTCTCATGGCTCTGGGGATTTTTGACATGCGATGGCCACCGTACGCTGCAGACATCACCCTGGAGCTGCACCAGCACCGGCAGACCAAAGAGGCCTTTGTCAAAGTGTCATACATTGGCCAGGTAGGCTAGGAAGGATGCAGGGCTTACAAAAGTGTGCACATATTGAAACAATTTCCGTACTGTTTCTCTCTGAGAAAGTCAGAGATCTGTTTGTTTGTGTGTGTATAGCTAGGTTTTCATCCAATGGCGAAGGTGCATAAAGATGGAGCAATGACATCATTGTTTTTAGCACTACCCACAGAGTTCTTAAACTACGGCGTGGTCCAATGTGCCAGTAAATCAGCACAATCACATTTTTCTAAATGCCGCTGTCTTGGAGCTATAATTGGGATCATGTATACTGTGCTAATGCCAATACAAAAAAAGAGTAATGGAGAGCATTGTACAATACGGTGAACTGAGCAAACGAGGCATATGTGGTAAGTACATGGGGGCCACCATCTTTATGCACCTTCGTTATTGGCAACAGATTTTCATGTGAATATTCTAAAATCCGCTTAAAGAAAATATGTGCATTTTCCCACCAAACTGACTTGTTGCGGAGTGATGATGTAATGCACACAATGTTCTTTTTTCTTTTCAGTTTAAATCTAAAGTTCAATGTGTTTCCATCGCATTTTCAACTCTAAAACTGTTGCGTTAAATAGCAAATGTGCCAACTCTGCTCTTGGCACATGCGCTCTAGCCATCAGCTCACAGATACTGTGCGGGCAGGCTAGTCTACATGATGAGATTATTATGGATAATATTTATATTTCGATCATCATGTCACCAGAATAAGATCCTCGATATTTATTGGAAAGGAGCATCAAGCTCATCACTGTGCACTTTCACCACCCTGTGAAGTTCATCAATTTATTTAATCTGTAGCCTAATAAACTGCATGGTTTCCCGAGTCATAGTTTTCACCGCCATTTATCGCATAATATATTTTACCGACACAAAAAGTTCCCACCATGTCGAACGAACAAATTATCTATCTGCATTTATAAAATTGTACCGAAAGGTCCTGTTTCCATCACAGTTGTCATGATAATTTTTTTTATACGGTATGACTTTACTCGCGTAAAGACTGTGGATGGAAACGTGGTTAGTCTTTCTTACACGTTCTTGATTCTGATCTGTGTCTGTAGGACCAGTTGATTCCAGGCTGTAATGGAGTCTACTGCCCCCTGCAGGAGTTCAAGCAGGCCCTCTCCAACTACTCACTGACCTCTGAACTCTACGAGTCACTCTGCAACCACACAGAGGGCGTGGCTGACCCCTGAGGCTTCTGCGACCCCCTCCTTACCTCTCACCTTTGACCCCCAGCTCTGCCCCATGCACTCTCACTGTTACCAGCCACCATGTTTACATCCCACCAGAGACCTCCACTCTCCAGCCTAGCATTAGCCTATTACTAGCCAGTGTATTACAACAGAGATTTTCAAAGTGTCTTAATGTTCATTGAAGGGAGGCCCACTGTCTCAGACTTTGAAAACGGCTATATTTACAGTACAAACAGTCTAAACGCACAAATGTAGCTTCACTGTCAAAGTGCATAACTGCCTTTGAACCACATCCTGTGTGTTACTGCTCCTACTGGTTTAGATTGAGACAGTTTTACTTACAGAGATCTTAATTATTGAAATAATCTGGTGATATAATCTGCCTAAAAAATAAGTATGTTACCAATTATATTCATATTCAGTATGGAAAATGTATGCACTCACTAACTAAGTGCTCTGAATAAGAGCGTCTGCAAAATGACTAAAATGTAAATAAGCAATGTGCATTTACTGTATGTCTGTAGATATACTGCATTTATCCAATTACTTTATGCACTATAAAGACAGAGCACCAGATTCTAGATATTTACTTTCTGAAATATGTTCTGGCTTTGTTGCTTTTAGAGTGAACCAAAATTCTTCATATCAAACTGCAATCTTTTCCTCAGGGGAAAACCAAGCACATCATGTAAGTAGTGTTCATAGACCAAGGGAACCAAATGTATGGTATGAGTGTGTGTGTGCATGTTTACCCACACCAAATCATTCATTTTAGAACCTGTTCAAAGGGAATTATTCTGCTAAAGATCTGTTGTGTGAGTGAAACAGTATGTGCTGCCTTTTAGGAATTTGTTGATTATATTGTGTATAAATTATATGCATGGACATATGAGCAAATATACACACCCACATTGGCGTGATTTAATTTGCTTGTTAGTTGTATGCCTCATCATGGAGAGTTGCCCTGAAATTCTGTGACTTTGCTTTGGAGTGGTGGAGAGTAATAAAGAGAGTTGGTCAATGCGTTGTCTCTTGCTACTGTGCAACATAGCAATGCAAATTGTGGTCCAACCTCAACACCAGTGGTCATATACAGTGGGGGAAAAAAGGATTGTCAGCCACCAATTGTGCAAGTTCTCCCACTTAAAAAGATGAGAGGCCTGTAATTTTCATCATAGGTACACGTCAACTATGACAGACAAAATAAGAATTTTTTTCTCTCCAGAAAATCACATTGTAGGATTTTTAATGAATTTATTTGCAAATTATGGTGGAAAATAAGTATTTGGTCAATAACAAAAGTTTCTCAATACTTTGTTATATACCCTTTGTTGGCAATGACACAGGTCAAACGTTTTCTGTAAGTCTTCACAAGGTTTTCACACACTGTTGCTGGTATTTTGGCCCATTCCTCCATGCAGATCTCCTCTAGAGCAGTGATGTTTTGGGGCTGTCGCTGGGCAACACAGACTTTCAACTCCCTCCAAAGATTTTCTATGGGGTTGAGATCTGGAGACTGGCTAGGCCACTCCAGGACCTTGAAATGCTTCTTACGAAGCCACTCCTTCGTTGCCCGGGCGGTGTGTTTGGGATCATTGTCATGCTGAAAGACCCAGCCACGTTTCATCTTCAATGCCCTTGCTGATGGAAGGAGGTTTTCACTCAAAATCTCACGATACATGGCCCCATTCATTCTTTCCTTTACACGGATCAGTCGTCCTGGTCCCTTTGCAGAAAAACAGCCCCAAAGCATGATGTTTCCACCCCCATGCTTCACAGTAGGTATGGTGTTCTTTGGATGCAACTCCGCATTCTTTTTCCTCCAAACACGACGAGTTGAGTTTTTACCAAAAAGTTATATTTTGGTTTCATCTGACCATATAACATTCTCCCAATCCTCTTCTGGATCATCCAAATGCACTCTAGCAAACTTCAGACGGGCCTGGACATGTACTGGCTTAAGCAGGGGGACACGTCTGGCACTGCAGGATTTGAGTCCCTGGCGGCGTAGTGTGTTACTGATGGTAGGCTTTGTTACTTTGGTCCCAGCTCTCTGCGTGGATCTTGCGTGGAGCCCCAGATCGAGGGAGATTATCAGTGGTCTTGTATGTATTCCATTTCCTAATAATTGCTCCCACGGTTGATTTCTTCAAACCAAGCTGCTTACCTATTGCAGATTCAGTCTTCCCAGCCTGGTGCAGGTCTACAATTTTGTTTCTGGTGTCCTTTGACAGCTCTTTGGTCTTAGCCATAGTGGAGTTTGGAGTGTGACTGTTTGAGGTTGTGGACAGGTGTCTTTTATACTGATAACAAGTTCAAACAGGTGCCATTAATACAGGTAACGAGTGGAGGACAGAGGAGCCTCTTAAAGAAGAAGTTACAGGTCTGTGAGAGCCAGAAATCTTGCTTGTTTGTAGGTGACCAAATACTTATTTTCCACCATAATTTGCAAATAAATTCATTAGAAATCCTACAATGTGATTTTCTGGAGAAAAAAAATCTCAATTTGTCTGTCATAGTTCACGTGTACCTATGATGAAAATTACAGGCCTCATCTTTTTAAGTGGGAGAACTTGCACAATTGGTGGCTGACTAAATACTTTTTTCCCCACTGTATGGTCAGTCAGTTGTCCTCATAAAGACACCTGAACCACACATTTCATTCATGTCCTATTAGAATTCAGGGGTATTCAACTCTTACCCTATGAGGTCCGGAGCCTGTTGCTTTTCTGTTCTACCTGCAAATTAATTGCACCAGGTCTAAATCAGTCCCTGATTAGAGGGAACAATGAAAAAATAAAGCAATGTCACGGTCTTCGAGGGCCAGAGTTGAATTTGAGGGTGTTAGATCATGCATCATAGACGACTCTACCAAGACAATGGTCGTGTTCGAGTGTCAAAATGACTGCAGGCGACTGACAACTACAAATCACCTTGCATCATAAATAACGACTCATTTGTAGATCAGTCAATCACAATTTACCCATGATACATTGTGGTTTTGATCCACTTGAACACGGCCAATATCTTTTGTCTTCCATTGCCACAGCCTTGGCAGACGTCTCTGTACCAAGGACAATGGAGGTACACATGACAAGCGAGGAAGTCAAATCTATGCTATGTAGGGACATTCGTTTTTCCTGACCATGTGACTTGAGCAGGAATAGTAATGTTATATGGTCTGGAAAGACTCTGGCCCTAGATGAGGTTGGTGGTCAGATTTCTGTCTTGATACAGACTGAGGCCTGTCCCACTAATGCCTGAGACAACCATTTTCTATGAGATGAATGCTGTGGGAATGAGATCTCAGAGTCAACAGAAGAACAAACAGCAACACAGGAACAGTACTACCGCTATTCATACTGACTGGCTGGTAGAAGTGTTCAAATGGGGAAAGAAGACACTGCAGTTGATCCATGTTTGTGCTTTTTTAATAATACTAGTATCTTTGAGGTCATAGTTTGGTTTGTTATACACAAGTTACAAAGGAAATTAAAATAGACAAAAATTCAAATAGCCCACCAATGGAAAACAGTACTGTTCTTTAGTGGGGCGTCCCTCCCCAATGAAAGGTGGGTAAGAGAGCTTAGACGTCATTGATAGAATCCCTATACATACTTACAACAAAAACACACACCGGACAGAAACAGTCAAAACGATGGAGCCAGAGAGAAGATGGAGTTCCATTGAAATCTTCTCAAAGTACGATTTTATTCCACAGTCTTTTTATTCCGTTTTTATGTTTGTTATCCATTACTGGACAAATCCATTGTTGATTTTTAACTGATTTGAAAAAGTCGATGTACAGTCCTCCAAGGTGGTTCACTCCATTCCTCTTCGATGTTTAACTCACCCTTATAATCAGAGATTTAGAAGAAGAAGAAGAAAAAACACTTGAGGAACAGTTTAAATTGTGACATTGAAGCACAGCAATCCCATACATTCAGACATTTCTGAAGAGACAAAATGAAATGTTCTTGTGGTAAAAGACAATTACTGGGCTATGTAGCTCCACAAGCCATTAACTACCCACTCCTCTGCACTACATGTTTCAATCCAGAGAACCACCTCTGTCTGTCATTCCTTACGTCCTGCGTTTCAATCCATCTCCTATCTGCTGTGAGACTTATTCCATCCTCGTACTGTATAACGGCTCAGAGCATTCGAGGTCCAAGATTCTATGAGTTGTGTGTTAGAACATTCCGGGCCCTGGGCTGAACCCCATGTCCATGTCCCTGCCACGTGGCCTCATATGCCCCCCCATCATCATCGTCTGCTGGGGGGGGCCGCCCATGCCTTGTAGTGACATCATCATGTTGGGCGACCCCCCAGGCCCAGGGTGGTTGTAGAGCACCCCCCTCTCCTTCCCCTGCATCATGCCCCCCGGCGACATCATCCGGTGCTGGGGTCCCATCATTCCCTGACCCATGAACCCTGGGGGCCCATGCGGCCGCATAGGATTGTGGGAAGTGTTTCCCATGGGCATGTCCTGGGGGGCCATACCACCTCCCGGCCCCCCAGGCATCCCCCCCATCCTTTGCATGGACATGCCCATCCTGGGAGGGCCCTCCCCCATCATACCCTGCATCATCCCCTGCATGTGTGGAGGTTTCCCCCCTGGGCCGGGTCCATCTCCTCCTCCCCTGGGGTAGTAGGACAGAGTCTGGCTGGGCTTCTCTGATGGGATGATCCTGGACAGGTCAAACTCTGGCATACCGGATGCTCCGGTTCGCATCACTTCATGCAGATCTGCATCACTGAACTCTCCCTGCATGTTGAACTGCGGTCCTCCAGGGTTGTTGGGCCTACCCCCGTTGCCTCCCCCTCCATGGGGCATGTTCCCCATCCGACCCCCCATAGGACCCCCCTCTCCCTGGAAGCCCATGGGGTGTCCTGGGAAGCCCTGGGGCCCGGGGCCATTGTGGGGGGAGAAGGGACCCTGCTGGGAGGGGGACTGGGGGAGGGCATAGCCCTGCACTCGGTGGGGGTAGCCCATGCGCCCCTGGGGCATCATCTGGGGGTTGCCCATACCTTGGTCCTGGGGGTTGGGGGGCATCATCATGCCATGGGACATCATGCCCGGGCCCATGTTGGGAGGGTTGGGGGAGGGCATCTGCTGGGGCATGCCGTGGGAGAGAGGCTGGGAGCCCATGGGGGTCATACCCAGGGGACTGAGGGCAGGCATGGAGCCAGAGGAGCCGGGGCCCATCATACGAGGAGCTTGGTGGTGGTTCATTCCCATACCTACAGAGGGCCACAGAGAGAGACAGAGGGATGTTAGTGCACCATATAACACACAGCATGTTATCATTTCAAACCTACATCAAGTGGAGTAAACCAAGTCACACCTCTATGAAAAAGGGTTCAAAATACATCTCAAAAGACTAATTTACTTACAAGATACTTGAATGAGGTTTAACATGACACCTACGCATGTCTCCGTCCACTCACCGTTGTTGTTCATGGGGGGTAGATTTGGGGAGCGTGCGGGGGGCGAGTCGTCGTCCGAGCTCGCCACCGTCTTGATGGCGTCGTGGTAGAGGGGGGTGGAGCTGGGCATGGCGAACTTAGACATGCGTGACATCATGATGGAGAGGGGGTTCTGGGATAGCGTGGGTTCGGGGGGGAGGGAATAGGGGCTGCCGGTCGGGGCACCGCCTGGACCCCCCTGGAGGGGCATGGGGCCAGTCTGGGCTCCTGACGAGGGGGGGTTGTTACCACCTGGTGAGAGGGGAGAGAGAGAGATGAGAGATTCAATATAATTACTATTTACTTGGGTCCTATTCATTAGGTAGCAAAACATATCCTGGTTTACCCTGGTTACTTTGAAATGGATATATAAAGGACATTGTGGCAAAAACATTTTAGATACAGATAAACAATACATGTCAATTGTAAATAATTACATTCATTAATTTAGATACAGTGCAGTTACATGGGCACAAGGGGGTGTAATTTCCCTGAAAAGGGAGAATGTTTCCTCTTAGGGAAAATGTGTTTACATGGATGAGAATGATGCTTTCAACCGACTTATAAATGACTTGATTTAAAGATGACGGATTGAGACAAATGCTAGCCTGCCTGATACACAACAGAGGTCTTTTTAGACTGCTTGGACAACAGACATTACAAAACAGCCCTCTATTAAAGACGTGATGTCATCTTCACCCAATCATCATTCAAGAGAAAGGTAGTAAGAATTAAAATCTCTTTGAAAATTTATATTATCTCTGCCTTGAAATTTAAATACACATTTTTTATGTTGTTTATCACAGCAGTTAAGAGAAAGAGAAGGGGAGAGAGAGATGAGACAGCCTATATGGAGGAGGTCAGAGACCTCAGCAAGACAAAGGAGCCCCCATTCACATCAACAGGGCTGTAGTGGTGCGGGTCGAGAGCTTTAAGTTCCTTGGGTGTCCACATAACTAAGGATCTACCATGGTCCACACACACCAACACAGTTGTGAAGAGGGCACGACATGTCTGTATCTAAAATGTTTTTGCCTCCTCCCCCTCACCAGGCTGAAACTATTTGGCATGGGCCCTCAGATCCTCAAAAAGTTATACAGCTGCACCACTGAGAGCATCTTGACTGGCTGCGTCACCGCTTCATATGGCAACTGCTTTGCATCCGACCGCAAGGCACTACAGAGTGTAGTGCGTACCGCCCAGTACATCACTGGGGCCGAGCGCTCTGCTATCCAGGATCTCTATACCAGGCGGTGTCAGAGGAAGGCCCTAAAAATGGTCAAAGACTCCAGCCACCCAAGTCATAGACTGTTCTCTCTGCTACCGCACAGCAAGCGGTACCGATGCACCAAGTCTGGAACCAACAGGACCCTGAACAGCTTCTACCCCCAATACTGCTAAATAGTTAATTAAATAGTTAACCAAATAGCTATCCGGACTATCTGCATTGACCATTTTTGCACTAACTGACTAACCGGTGCCCCCGCACATTGACTCTGTACCGGTACCCCCTGTATATAACCTCCCTACTGTTATTTTATTTTACTGCTGCTCTTTAATTATTTGCCATTTTTATTTTTTTCTTAAAAACTGCATTGTTGGTTAAAGGCTTGTAAGTAAGCATTTCACTGTAATGTCTACACCGGTTGTAGTCGGCGCATGTGGCAAATAAAATGTGATTTGATCGCATACGCTGCTGTTACAGTTTATTATCTATCCTGTTGCCTAGTCACTTTATTCCTACCTCTATGTACATATCTACCTCAATTACCCCATACCCCTGCACATCGACTCGGTACTGGTACCCTGTGTATATAACCAAGTTATCGTTACTCAATTTATATTTATTATTATGTGTTTTACTTTTCTATTATTTCTCTCTGTATTGTTGGGAAGGGCCCGTAAGTAAGCATTTCACTGTTAGTCCACACCTGTTGTTTACGAAGTACGTGACAAATTACATTTTATGAGAGAGAGAGAGAGAGAAAGAAAGAACAGAAACAAGAATAAAGCCAGATAAGTACTGTACCTTGCTCCATGTTTCCCATCATGTTAGGTGAGGTCAAACTGAGGGGGGGTTTTCCCCCCTGCTGCTGGGGGAGTACTGGGCTGGGCATGGGGGGTTTGGGGGAGGAGGCCCACCCTGGAGAAGGGTTGGGGAGGGACGGGGACCTCATATGTACAGGGGAGGCGCCAGCAGACCCCATCATAGAGTGAGGGGACTTCATTGGGGCCGAGTTGGCAGTGTTAGGGGGGCCATTGGGTCCCGGAGGGCCGGAGAGCATAACAGCCAGCTGGGAGGGGGTCTGGGGGGACTTGAGGTTCCCAGAGGGAGAGCCCATCATGGGGGATTGCACCTGCCTCAAAGGAGGGGACTTGAGGGGATTGAGACTGGGCGAGCTGCCCCCTCCTGACTGGATGTTCAGCTCTGCAGGCTTACGTCCCCTTTGGACCTGGGGTGTTCCGGCGGCAGAGGGAAGGTGGTTGAGGCGGCCGTTGCCCCCCGTAGGCGTGGTCCTGTGCTCCGGGCCACCATAGGGCTGCTCTCCATGAGGCCCCCTCATACTTACAGGACCCCCAGGGAAGGGCCGTCCGGGCCCCATGGGGAAGTCCCCTGGCTGGGGATGGTCAGGGAAGTGGGACCCCTGCATCTGCCTCCCTTGGGGCCCCATGTTGTCCATTGGAGGCCCTCTCATTCTCATGATCTCGTCTGGGCTCATATTCATAGGCCCCTCTCGTAGTTGGGGGTTCCCATGGGGGCCCATGCCAAACTCAGGGCCCATGTCCCGGCCCCCCATAACAGCCAGTCTGGAGGAGGGGCTCATGGGGCCCTCGCCAGGCATCCTGGGAAACATCATCCCGCCCCCGTTGCCCGGCTCCATGCCGCCTCTTTGGTATCCCATCATCCTCTGCATCTCCATCATCATCTGTGGAGGAAGGCCCGGTCCCTTGTCGCCCCCCATGCCCTGGTGAAATATTGCCTCCTGGACTGACTGGGGGTTGGGGAAGCGCTCTCCCCGCACCCCTGGACCTCCAAACATCCCCCCTGGCCCTCCTGGGAACCCCCGGCCATCCCCCATTCCCATCCTGGGGGGCATGTCTTCAGGCCAGCCCATCCCGGGCCTGGGGGGTCCCTCCATGTCAGGGTTCATCATGCCCTGGGGGAACCCAGGCATCCTCTGCATGTGAGGCGGCATCCCTCTGGGGCCCATGGCAATGCGCTCCTGGTAGTGCTCTGGTGGCCCTCCCGGCCCCCCTGGACCCCACACCTCTCCGGGGCCCATCTGGTAGGGCGGTGGGGGTCCTCGCATCATGCCGCGCGGCCCGTGGGGGTGCATCATCATGTCGGGAGGAAGTGGGCGATGATGCATTTCCTGTTTCCTCTTCTTCTCCTCGTAGAACTCCTGCTGCAGCTTCAGCCAGGCCACCTGCTCCGGGGTCATGTGATCTCCGTCTCCACACACCCCAGGACCCATCATGTGACCCAGCTCATCTGGGAAGGGGGGCATGTCTCTGGGGTGTCCATGCGGGGGGCCGAATGGGGGTCCCTGGGGTCGGGGCCCTCCCGGCCCCACTGGTGAACCTAGGCTCTGGGACTGGGCCATCATGGCCTGGAGAGGGCCCTGCTCCGGCCTCCTGGGTCCCACATCAGGCATGCCGTCGTGGGGCTGTGGGGGTCCCCCGTGGGAGCCGGGTGGTGGTGGGGCATCGCGGTCGTCAGGGAAGAGCATGCGCTGGATGTCTCGGAGGGTCTGGAGGGAGCGCTGGCGGTGCTCCAGCTGTTCCTGGGACAGGCCCTCTGTGTTGGCCTCCATGTTGAGAAGCTCCTCGGCCAGTTGCTGGTGCTGCTGCTGCTGGGGTGTCAGACCAGGCTGACCCATCCCCATGGACCCCGGCCCTCCTCCTTCCCCAGGCTGAGGGGGGTTCACAAGGGGCATGCCCTGTTCGGACTGAGGCTGGCACCCAGGGGTCTGGTCACCTGGACCCATGGTATTCCCAGGGATGTTCTTGGGGTCCATGCCCGCTGAGGAGGCCCCATCCTGGGCGAGTGAACCAGGCTTAACCCCCTGGTGAGGGGGCTGGGGTGGAGCTTGATCAGTCAGGCCAGGTTTAGACACTGTCTGGTGGTTCTGGTCTGAGGGGTGAGATGAGGACTGTTGAGGTGGCTTGGAGTCACCTCGGAGGGGTCCTGTCTGATTGTTCGAAAATGAAGGAAAATGAGAGAGAGGGAATGAAAAACAAGGAGGCTTGAGTAAGTGAGGGTTCGTAAATCAAGTCTTTATCAAAGCTGACTTTTTACACAGACTGTATGCCAAGTGACCTGTGTAGTCATCCCCTTGGTAACTGTGTATTGTGTGTATCGTGTGTGTTTGTGTTTAACTATACTGGACGTGTTTAACTAAGTCCCCACAAGAATAGTAAACAAACAAAAATTTGACCAACTGGGGACATTTTGTTAGTCCCCACAAGGTCAAATGCTATTTCTAGGGGGTTTAGGGTTTAGGTTAGAATTAGTGTTAGGAGCTAGGTTTAGGGTTAAGGTTAGGTTTTAGGGTTAGGTTAGGTTAGGTTTTGGGGTTAAGGTTAGGTTTAGGGGTTAGGGAAAATATAATTTTGAATGGGACTGAATTGTGTCCCCCACTAGGTTAGTTATACAAGACCGTGTGTGTGTGTATGTGCGCTCTTACCAGGGGTGGGAGGGGGGTCTTGTCCTTGCTGTTGGAGATGTTTTTCATGTGGAAGTTGATTATGTTTTCTGAGCGTCCTGTTAAAACAGCATCGGCTGCCCTGAGGACCAGAAACCAGACAGTCACACATCAGTCAGCGGTCTGTGTGTGTGTGCGTGTGCATGCGTGGTGTGTGTCCACGTATGCCAGTAGAATGAGGGCACTGTTAGACAAGGGCATGAAGGAAATGCCAAGGTTGACAGACTAAACAAACAGCTTTACACACATCTTCCACTTAACATCCACAGCTTCCATCTCCTATTCCCTACAGAGGACAGTGTTAATCTGAGCTAACTGAAACACTTTCAGGCAAGCAATATTTCTGGATTTGATGTCTCCTCTACTTTCTCAGAGAAATGTGCAGTATGATGTACTTATGCACACTGGTTGTTATTCTCTGACCCCTCCGTGTGTACAGTGTGTGTGTATAAAACATTAAGAACACCTGCTCTTTCCATGACAGACTGACCAGGAGAAAGCTATGATCCCTTACTGATGTCACTTGTTAAATCCACTTCAAATCAGTGTAGATGAAGGGGAGGAGACAGGTTAAAGAAGGATTTTTAAGCCTTGAGACATGGATTGTGTATGTGTGCCATTCAGAGGGTGCATGGGCAAGACAAAATATTTCAGTGCCTTTGAACAGGGTATGGTGGTAGGTGCCAGGCGCTCCGGTTTGAGTGTGTCAAGAACTGCAATGCTGCTGGGTTTTTCACACTCAACAGTTTCCCCATGTGTATCAAGAATGGTCCACCACCCAACGGACATCCAGTCAACTTGACACAACTGTGGGAAGCATTGAAGTCAACATGGGCCAGCATCCCTGCGGAACGGTTTCGACACCTTATAGTCCATGCCCGACAAATTAAGGCTGTTCTGAGGGTACAAGGGGGTGCAACTCAATATTAGGAAGGTGTTCCTAATGTTTTGCATACTCAGTGTATAAGTCAGCGTGAGAATGAGGCGATCAAGAGAAAAAAGGAAATCCAAATCAAGGGGAGGAGGTACAGACAACATCAATGTCAACAAACAGCATCAAATACACAACAACAAACTAGAAGAGGGACATGGAGAGGTACTTGAGGCCAATGACATCACTATCAGAAATTCCATTCATCCTAAACCATTAGTCCACAGATTAACACACATACGTGTGTGTGTGTGTGTGTTTGTGCGTGCGTGTGAGAGAGAGAGAAGGGCCATGGCTGTAGTAATACTGGTTTGTTCAGTCTATCCAAACAGAGCATAAATTATAACCTGAGTGTGTGGAACACAGTTTGCTGAGAAGGAACACATCACACACTACAACTACTACAGCTTAATCACTAACACACTCACAAAACACACAGAACAAAGCCCATTGAGTGGAGAACATTTAGCAAAAAGCACAATTTAAGCAAGCCTAAATGTATTATATTGAGGGATAATTCACTTGTTTTTCGTACCAAGCTAAATTATCTAATGTCATAGGCTCAATTCAAGTAATTTATAATATTTCAAGATATTTTACCTTTATATGCCGATTAATACGGCAATTAAGGTCAAATATCTTGAAAAATATATTTTTGCAGTGTAATTTACATTATTTCGCTGTGATCGGCCTTACTTGTTGGCCATCTCTGTAGTGAAGACATAAACCACTTTAGACCCAGCCTTCTGACCACCCGCCGACTCAGACGCCGCGCCCTGGCCTCCTAGTGCATTGTGGGAGGGCGTGGAAGAGCGGCTGAGTCCGGCGTTGGAGGGAGGATGGGAGTTGGAGTCCTGGGGCTTCACGGCACTGGAGTTACAGTCTGGGGAGGGGCAGAGAGGATCATGGGTACTGTAGTTTTCAGTAGCAGGTGGAAATGGGGATGAACGACACACACAAACACATACACACAGTCACACTTACTGAAGAATCCTTTGTCGTCCTCGTCACTCTCTCCTCCAGAGCACCAGTCAGCTCCACTGTAGGGCTGCCTCCTCTCAGCCACACACATCCTCTTCACCCTGTTACTGTCTGTATATATATATGCACACACACACACACACAGTCAATGTGTGTAGGTGTGTTTTCATGTGTGTGTGTGTGCGTGCGTGCGTTTCTACAGACCAGAGTTAGAGCTGAGCTCTCTATGTCAATAGTACACACAAACACATTTTCCCCTCTCTTCTCTGAGTGCAGTCCTGTGCACCAGACTCCCAGGAGAGGAGAGCCCAACACAGCAGTGTATCAAGGGCAGAGTGCGTGACCATAATGACACACTTTCAGGGGCCTGCTGCTGTATACACAGCCACAACACATGTTCACACAGAATGGATACGGAACATGCCCACTAACATCAACAGCTATTGTGTCAGAGACCGAGAAATTTTTTAGCTTCATGGAAATGCAAGCTTAGAAAGTGGAAAGTAGGATATAATCAGTAAATAGTACACTACTTCATACCACTACGTATACCGGTACTCAACTTGACATATTTGAGTTGAATACTATTTGGAGTGCAGTGTAATACTCACCCTTGTCGTCGCTGGTGGGTGTGCCTGTGTCTGGCTGCTGCTCGTTGTAGGACTCCACCGAGGTGCTCCTCTCTCGCTTCACCTTCACCTTTGACCCCTGTCCCCCAGAGGTCAGGCCCTGGCCGTTCTTTAGCCCCCCCATGCCCCCTGGACCCGCCCCCGATACACCCCCCTGCTGGGAACCCTTAGCACCCACAGTCTTGGGGTCGCAGGGCGAAGCCTGCAGTTGGCTGCCAGCGCTTCCTGGTTTGCTCTGATTGGGCAATTTGGAGTCCATTTGGGCGGCTCCACCAGAGGGAGACGTGACGGGAGGGGAGCGCACCATGACCTCTGGCTTGAGTTTAGGACTGAGAGGGAGAGATTGGGAGAAGTGGGGGAGTTAGATGGAGGGAGAGAATAAGTGCTTATCAACTGTAAATAATAAACTGAAGCAAAATGTACTTCATTCTATCATAGTGACAGACAGTGAAAAAATGTAAGCATAATTTGTATGTAATCTTTATTTATCAAGGTAGTCTCATTGAGATAAAAATCTATTTTTCAAGAGAGACCTGGTCATGGTTAGGCTTAGGCAAGAGGAAAGTCAACTGTGGTCCTCTGTAGCTCAGCTGGTAGAGCACGGCGCTTGTAACGCCAAGGTAGTGGGTTCGATCCCCGGGACCACCCATACACAAAAATGTATGCACGCATGACTGTAAGTCGCTTTGGATAAAAGCGTCTGCTAAATGGCATATTATTATATTATTATTATAACTTTACTTAGACTGATGAGGAAGAATTACTGGAAACTTGGGTTATGACATTCCAGGAGAATCAAGTGCATATCTCACACTCTGTGTGCGTGTATGACGCAACAGGTGTGGCTCCCCCAGTAGTACACTCTGGGAGAATCTCAATTGCATACTCCTCACGTCCCTTCTCCTGTCTCTAGTCAGACTGCCATCACTCCTCACGTCCCTTCTCCTGTCTCTAGTCAGACTGCCATCACTCCTCACGTCCCTTCTCCTGTCTCTAGTCAGACTGCCATCACTCCTCACGTCCCTTCTCCTGTCTCTAGTCAGACTGCCATCACTCCTCACGTCCCTTCTCCTGTCTCTAGTCAGACTGCCATCACTCCTCACGTCCCTTCTCCTGTCTCTAGTCAGACTGCCATCACTCCTCACGTCCCTTCTCCTGTCTCTAGTCAGACTGCCATCACTCCTCACGTCCCTTCTCCTGTCTCTAGTCAGACTGCCATCACTCCTCACGTCCCTTCTCCTGTCTCTAGTCAGACTGCCATCACTCCTCACGTCCCTTCTCCTGTCTGTTTTTTATTTATTTGTCTTGCACTGTTGGCAGTAGGTGCACTCGATTCAGCTGCCCTGCGCGCCGGGTAGGCGAAGTGTTCACATTTTGAACCACTTTATGTGTCTGAAGGTACAAACTCTGCCATCCCGGCAGGCCCGGAGAGCAAATCAAGTGCACTATAGGCCTACCGCTGGCCAATCGGATGGCTCAGATTACCGTGTCTGCAGTAACGTAGCAGGCATAAAATAAATCTACGGCAAAGTTAACACTGTGAGATTTCAACGCTTTTAAAACAATGACTAGAGAGAGACTGTCAACAAATACCGCAAACAGCTGCTGTTTTTCTGAGTGAGTTCATGTTTAAGTTCTTACTCAGCACTGTCAACACTTTTTATTCAACACTTTTATAAGCCATAAAATCTGCGTTCTTCCAACTTCCACTCAGCGCTACAACCAGCACTGCAGCTGTAATGAATGAGTAGGAAAGTCTATCAATAGGCTTGCATTGTTATTATTTGCGGCTTGGGGCTTTTTTTAATATCGAGGAATATTTCACTTTCTCTGTTCATAGGAGTAACAACATGAATTTGTGCATGAGGCAGAAATAATGCGGTGTGACTCGAGTTTCGACATCAGTTGGAAGACAGTATCCCTTTTTGGTCAGTGTCAGTGGAGGAAAGGGAGAGCGGAGGGATGTTGAGAGGCGGACACTCAGTCTGCTGCTCTCTCCCTCCACTGAGACTGACCATCAGATGCAGGCACCATCAGCCCAGTAAAATAAAAATAAAAAGCACATTATTTAAATGTATGCTCACTCAGCTGTGCCTCAAGTAATACAACAACTGATCTATTACCGGTGTGATTATATCTCCTACCTCAAATGTTGATTTTGATTTTATTTTATTGTCCGAACAACAATGATTTGGCAGGGCAATTCAAGCAAAGCCAATATGCGGTGATAATTTATTGGGCCTATAGCCTACTGCACAAACCTCATTGCTACAGTACTGTTTTTAATAGGTTAATGTTGCATAGGCTTATGTTTAAGTCATGTTAATTTAAAAAATCTGAGCATTAGATCACGGCTTGCATTTTGACTCAGAAAATGATCTTGACTCAGAAAAGGTTGGTGACCACTGGTCTAACCAATCAGAGTATCAAAGCCAAACCTCCGCTTTACCCATGTGTGTTCTAGCTCTGGCTCAACCTATTGGTTTCTGGACCAATCAGAAGGCCCCAAATGTGTTCGCATTCGCTGAAGGGTCGGAGAGGTACTCAGATCTAGACTCATTGCGGAGAAGAAACTAACGTCCGTGGGCGTGGCATAGCGTTTGGTTGGAGCAAGGAGTTTGGGTAGCCAGGCAATCCTCTCTCCTCACCTCCTTCTCAAAACACATTGGATGAGAAAACCAGAGATCCCTCCCCTCTGACCTTCTCCTCCGATGGGTTTTGAGAAGGAGGCGAGGAGAGGATGAGAGGAGTATGCAATTGAGATTCTCCCACAGTCTCTGTTAGTCCTCTTACTTCCCCACCATGACTTGTTTCCCCTAGAAAGCACTGGTGGCAAAGGTTGTGGAAAGAAGGTGGGGGGATAGGGGTTGCTAGGGGGGTGTATGTGAGAAGGACAGTTCTGGTTACTTTTTAAAAGGACATTCTACTCCAAAATTATTCAAGATAAAATGCTGACAACATCTAAAACAGGAGTTTTTCAAGTCTGAGACTTTTAGAGAACAACGTTACATTTGACACAACATTCTGCTTGTTATTATTAACATTTATTTAAAATTATTTTTAATAAGTATTAATTATTATTCAACCGAGAATTTTTTTTGTTTTGTTTCTATTATATTAATTCTATTAAAATATGTCATTGCCCTTTTAAGATGCCATTGCCCCTTTAAGAGCTCTGTTGTGCAGTTGTGCCTAAACCATGCTACAAACTCTGGTTGTAATTACATAT